TATTCTATTCTATTCTATTCTATTCTATTCTATTCTATTCTATTCTAGTCCATTCCATTCCATTCCATTCCATTCCATTCCATTCCATTCCATTCCATTCCATTCCAATTGTCTATTCCTATTCTATTTATTCTTATTTTCTATTCTATATTCTATTTTACTCCTTTCTATTCTAATTCTATACTCTATTCTAATTTTCTATTCCATTTTCTAATCTGTTCTATTCTGCTCTGCTCTGTAACATTCCATTCCATTCTACATTTCCCTTCAGGTTACTTTAGAACGGTGCCACAAATGCCAAGCTGGCATCTGGTCTCTGGCTTTGCATCCTGAAGGTTAATTCGTGCATCATGCAAATTGCCACCGAAGCGGCAGATGGAATCCTTGTTCTCGTTTTCTAAGTGCTTCGGATACTTGACATTACGGTTTCAAAGGCAGTGAAATAAACGTTTCCTAAAAGGGAAGCTTCCCGAACGGAAGGAGATTCCTGGAAAAGCCTGGCCCATTTTGCTAGACAGCTGTCCTAAAGACGCTCGCTTGCCTATGAATTCTAACTTCTCAATCAGCCATCCTTAGCTGCCTCTATGCCCGATTATAGTCTATAAGGAGACACTAAGAGGAACTGATTTGGCAGGAGGGCAGCCCGCGCCTCACTCTTTCCGCAGTGAACATCTAAGCATAGTTCACAAAATTGTCTGCTATAACATCGTGCCTGTCAACCACTTCTTCAGCTTCAACTACAATAATACATGGGCAAACAACCGATACAAACTCAAGGTAAACCTCTCCAAACTCGATTGCAGAAAATACGACTTCAGCAACAGAATGGTCACCGCCTGGAACGCCCTACCTGACTCTGTGGTTACAGCCTCAACACCGCACAGATTTAACCTCAAACTGTCTACTGTGGACCTCACCCCATTCTTAAGAGGTCCTTAAAGGGGACGTGCATAAGCACACCACCGCGCCTACCATCCCTGTCTTATTGTCCCCATTTATCTGTATTTACTCCCTTTGTTCCTGTTTATGTTCATACCTCTACTTGTTATCCTGTACATGTTTGACAAATAAAATTAAATAAATAAATAAAAATAAATAGTAATTGACCTGAAAATGTTGAAGTAGAAGTGTACAACTTGCAAAACCAGCGAGGAGCGAGAAAAATATTCAACACAGAGTTGCGGAAGTCATGCAAGTCACCAGTTCTATCTTACAGGTAGTTCTCGAACTTACAATCTTTCATTTATCCCAAAGGTGCTTTTTTCAGGAGGCAACTGGACTTTCTTGCTGCGTCTTTTGAAACCGTATCGCTTCTCATCCAAGAAGCTTCTTCAGCTCTGTCAGGATGGTGGGGAATGGAAGGATTTATATTCCTTGCAGACAGCTGGTCATTTGCATCCTTTCAGAGGGTCATTGAGGCCACTTGGAGATTTATCTGCGTCCTCAGGAGGACCTAAGAAGTGCTCCTGGTTCCAGTAAGTGTGCAATTTTTCCTCCAGAAATCCATTGCTACTCTCACACCATTCAAAGGATGTTCATCCCAAATTGACTAGCTAAACGTTTACCAATTGTGCCTACCGTCCCTGTCCTATTATCCCCAATTATTCGTACCCATTTCCTGTATTTATACTTATGTTTATTATCTTGTAAGCTATTGACAAATAAATAAATACAATAAATAAAAAATAAATAAATAAAGTCTGTAAGTCTGTGGACAATTTGTCCTGGGAGCCAACCACCATCTTGTTCAAACCATGGTCAGCTTTTTCTTTCCTAACCACATTTGGCAATTGCTTGTTGGCAATTTTTCAGCAAGTAGGAATCTGGATTGACAAGTTTTAGACAGCACCAGGTAAATTTCCTTCAATCCTTAATCCAACTTAAGTTTAAGGTTTTTTTTTTTAAATAAACAGCAACCTGAACATTGATTTTGGAAAGTTACAAATGGACTAAGGATCGAGATGGATTTGAAATAAGAGTTGAAATTAATTATAAGACTCTTCCCCATGAAGGAAATGCTTTTGTTTTAAATTTTAAAAAAAACATGATAGAATGGGACTCTGAAGACTGGATAGCACAGGGAATCAAAAGGAACAGAAGATTACAATTAAAGGAGAAGGAAACATGAATTTGACTTACTTATGCAGAATGGAGCAAAATATTTTAACATTGGGGATACTTGAACCATATTTGGACCCAGGAGTTAATTTGCCATTATAGATAGACTATGTTTAAAACATATTATGGAAGAGTGTATAGGTTTTATAAGACTGATCTGAAAATGATTTTAAATATGACAGGCTACAAGAGAAAGGTTCTACACAGGATATACTGTACATATGAAACCGGCTGATGTCTTAATAATTTAAAGGGATATACAAATAAAGCAAGCAATTGATCTGGATAACTTTCCTTTATTGGATTTACAAAGGACACTTGTTACATTTTGAAGATTTTTTAAAAATTGTTGAGAAGGAATAAAGGAAAAATAGAAAGAAATCAACTTCTAGGATATTTGAAGGATTAAAGATCAAGATTGTTAAAAGGGAAAGGAATATAAAGTTGTTTTATTTGATCAAGATTAAAACAGATACGTTGTTATCTCTTAACAACTATTTAATGAATTTTTAGTATCAGGACTGAACAGTGAGGAGGCCTTAAGGATATATTTACAGATGGAATATGGGAAGAAGAGGTTATTTGTTAGGAGTTAAGTTACTAAAATGATTTATACTTGTGATGAAGGGGGAAATTATTTATAATAACTTTTTAAACATATTCTTATTTTTTTTCTTTTCTATTTTTCTTGTTTTTTTCTTGTTCCTTTTTGCCCTATTTTTTCTTTTATTCCTTTGGTTAGTTTGCATTACTTTTTACCTTCTGAACTGTAATGTTTCATAAAATTATTATTAAAAAGGGAATTGACAAACACGAGACAGTATCATGCACAATATTAAAGTGAGCAAATATGAATTTGACTTTGAATTGAGCTTCCCCTGTTTTCTGTCCTGTTTCCTGTCTCCAGTCCTGTAGTGTCCTGGTTTTTAAACCGCTGCTTCTTTATCTCCCCTCCTCTCATCTTAACCCTTGCCAAAACCTATTTGACATTCCTAGGATGCCAGAAGCCTCCAGTGAAAATGAGTTATGTCTGTTCAAGCTTTGGCAAGCTTTTGCAAACTCAGGCCAAAAGAATTTGGGTCACCCCAATGAAAGGCCGTGGTGAGTCCACTGTCTGAATGCCAGAAGACCAAATCTAATCTTTTAGCAAGGTTGATAAAATGGCTGGTGCGAAATGAAATGATGAACGGTGGGGTCTCTGACACCTACCCCCCACACGCTCTTTTTCTCCTGCACTAGATAGCTTTAGAATAATTTTGAAGAGGCTAGCACCGACTTGATCGGGGTTTCAAAAGTGTTTTTCCTTTAATGGAAATCAGTTTAATACTAATTAACTTTTCTTTCATCTAAATTAACTAATTAATTTTCTTTTCGTCCCCTTAGGAGCCTGCTACAGGGCATTGCATGCCAAAAAAAAGACACAGGCAGTTTTTTATCTTCTGCCATCACTCTGCTGAGCAGCTAATTCCCACACCATTGTTTTATGTCTAAGTACAGTATATTTACACATGTAGTATGGCAGTATTACTTTTATCTTTCTCATCTGTTCACTATCTTCTCTTATTGGTATCATAATTATGATTATTATTACTGTGTTGTTTTGCGGCTACACTAAGAGTTTATGCACTGGAGACAAAGTCCTTTTGTGCCTATCACACTTGGCCAATAAAGTATTCTATTTCTATTTCTATTTCTATTTCTAATTTCTATTTCTATTTCTATTTCTACTTCTACTTCTATTCCGGTCCAGTCCAGTCCTGTCCGGTTCTACTCTACTCTACTCTACTCTACTCTACTCTACTCTACTCTACTATTTTATTCTATTCTAGCTAAAGAGAATTTAGGGGAAGGTACAGATGAGATAGGCTGGTTCTATTAAGCACTTTATATCAAGCCTGATATAGGAGCTCCATCATTGAGCATTGTGCTAAGAATTTAACAAGGAAGCATGTAGATTTTTGCATTATCTTTTCTTGCAATTTCATTCATTGTTATTCAACCCCTCCTTGACCTCATTTTTTCTGTTCGGAGATGGGTAGAGTTCAGATTATCTAGCACAGGTATTTCTTACCTGTACACTGGAGAGGTCCCGGGAAAAACCCTTCCCCACATGACGTCACGCACTGAGCATCCTTCAAATGCAGCGAAGCTTGGCAGGAAGTACATCCAAATTTATTAGTACAAGTTGAGCACATCTCTTTACAAGCTGCCCGAGGCGGGGAAGAAAAAACAAACAAAAAGAAAAAGAAGGTTGTAAAAAACGGATTCGAATTTGATTTTCTTTTGAGTCAGATCTTTGGGATCCATGATGCAGCTTGCCAGTTGCTGATCAGGGATTTCAAACATCCCTCAGGTATTAGCACCAGTAAAAAAAAAAAAAAGGGAAAAAAAGAAAACGTATTGCTGACAAGCCAAGTGTATATTGAAGATTGGTACAGTACACTGGCCTATGACTGCAATAAATATTGATTTGATTTAACTGAAATCAGACAATCAGTTATTATTGCCATTCCATCAGGCTTTTGTGAGGATTAATCTTCCTGATTATGCTGTTTGTTTGAAATATTTTATCCTGGGCCTTAAGATTTTCTATCTATTGCTGTGGTGGCTCAGGGGCTAAGACACTGAGCTTGTCGACCAGAAAGGTCGGTTCAAATCCCTAGCAGCGCGTAATGGAGTGAGCTCCCGTTTACTGGTCCCAGCTCCTGCCAACCTAACAGTTTGAAAGCATGTAAAAATGCAAGTAGAAAAATAGGGGCCACTTTGGTGGGAAAGTAACAGCGTTCCATGCGCCTTCGGCATTAAGTCTTGCCAACCACATGACCACAGAGACGTCTTCGGACAGCGCTGGCTCTTCAGCTTTGTAACAGAGATGAGCACCACCTCCTAGAGCCGGAAACAACTAGCACGTATGTGCGAGGAGAACCTTTACCTCATGTATTGCTATGTTGATTGTTTTGAACTGTCTTCAAATCAAGGGAGAAAAGCTAAAGAAGGTGGACATTTTTCAGAATCTGGGATCCCACCTCCAATCGCGACCCCAATGGCGAGGTGGGAGCTAGGATGAATGCAGCCTGGATGTGCTGGCAAGAACTCACCAGTATGTTGTGGGACAGACGAAGGCCAACCCGCCTTACATCTAAGATTTACGAGACAACCATCCGCCCTGTTGCACTGTATGGCACTGAATGCTGGGCAGCAACAACAGGGACCCAAAGCTCTCTCCATGCCATGGAAATGCAAATGCTCCCTTGGATATCGGGCATCTCCCTTCTCGACCACGTCACAAATGACACCATTCGACATCATTTTGGTGTGGCACCAATTACAGAGAAGAGGAGAGAAGGCCGGCTCAGCTGGTATGGACATGTCCACCTTCCACCGTGGCCAAGACTGCCTACCGACTAGAAGTCAATGGCCAGTGACCTCGCAGGCGCCCAAAACAGAGATGGCAAGACACCACCAACAAAGATATGCAAGCTGCGGGTCTGCGCTCTGGAGATGCAGCTGACCGTGGAAAGTGGAGGTCAAGGATCCAAAAAGCGGACCCTGTACCTGCGGGAATACGCTAGGACAGGGGTGTCAAACTCGATTTTATTGAGGGCTGCATCAGGGTTGTATTTGACCTCTGGGGCCAAGGTGGGTGTGGCCAGGGTGGGCGGACCCAACTTGACATCACTTGTGTCGGGGGCACCTGTGGTGGCCAAGCGCTCTGCCACAGAAAATGGGCTCCCGAGCTCCATTTTCGGCTGGGATGGTCTCCTGCAACCTTTTGCCAGCAAAAACGGGCTTGGCAGGGCCTCATTTTTGCTGACAGAGGCACTACAGGCTGGTCCTTCACTGCCTTGTGGGAGCTCCCTTAGAGGAGAAACGGAGCAATGAAAGGGTTCTTTTTGAAAGACACACATCTTCCGAATAATTTTATCTCCTTTAACACCCAGAAGCCACGGGCCATCTTCTGAAACGTCTCAGCATCACCTACAGAGCAAGAAGCTTCAATATCACAAAGCAGATTGGAGGCTAATCTTACCCAGGCAAAGGCCCCCATCTGGATAGAAGCCAACCCCACAGCTATCAACGCAACGCCCGTTCAGGAGAAACTTGGTGGACTCTCGGCAGGCATCGCAACGATCAAACGCCCGGGTGCAGGTCAAGCAATCGGGATGGCAGTCACCTATCATGAAAATGAGACAACTTTATTGGGGGTGAGGAAGGGCAGGATGGGCTCACCTGCTCAGGTAGAAGGATGCTTTTGCTGCATGGCAAACAACCAAAAAAAAAAAAAAAGGACAAGCAAGCCTCTTCTCCACCAGGTTAGTCCCCCCCTTGAAATTTATGATGATTGTATGATGATTATGATCAGGATTATCACTTGTTGCTTATATGTACGCCGAGAGCTTCCGCAACAGAGACAAATTCCTTCTGTGTCCAATCACGCTTGATCCATCAAGAATTTTATTCTGTTCTATTCTATTTTCTATTTTATTCTATTTTATTCTATTCTACTCTACTCTATGCTATTCTAATTTTCTATTCTATTCTATTTTCCATTCTATTCTACTCTATATATTTGTAGCTCACGGTTGACATGAGGGGTCCTTGGTGCTCTCTGAGGTTTGCTTGTCTTCTTGCAGATGTTTCATTACCCAAACTAGGTCATCGGTACTAGTCCTAGCACTACCCTGATGAGGTTACTTAGTTTGGATACTGAAACGTTTGCAAGAAAAGAGAGCACTACTTACTTATAGAAACAATACAGGAAAAGAAGTGTCAGGCCCAATCCCCAATGATAACCCAGTGCTTACACTTAACGGACAGAATCTTGCCAGACTAAAGTTATAACCTTCCAAAATAGTAGACATACCCTGAGAGATTTCAGGCTGTGGCTACTCTCTGTACCTTTTTCTCACCCCACCATCCAATTCAGGACTGTGTAGCCTCTTGTCTTGGGCCCCTCTCTGGGTTATGCTGCCTCCCTAGGAAGCCACAGTGCTACTGTCAATATTCCCCCCACTTCTCCTTCATCTTTACATTCCATCACAAGAAGTGGATCGTTACATCTCCTTGAAATCAAGTTTGAGATTTCTGGGATCCTCATGGACATGTTTCTTTAAATTTTCTTGGCTGGAGAATTCTGGGAGTTGAAGTCCACAGGTCTTAAAAGTTGCTAAAGTTGGACACACACACACACACACACCCGCTTTAAACCAAACACTTTTCAACGTACAGACCCTCTTCTGAGTTAAGAGGAATAAATATGTTAAGACTAGACACCTCAAAAGCAAAAGCCCTGTTTTGCAAATACCTGGCTTGCATTGAGGGCAGCACTCTCCGTGCACAGCCATAGCCACAGTTCCTGTGGGACACGTCGGACAAGACTGAGAATAGCAGTTTACTTTGGAGTCCAAGCATTCACATTCACGGCACAGGCCTTCCTTCCATTTTTCACCACTCTGCATGAAGAAAAGAAAAAAATAGAGGCTGCGATTTATCACAGTTTTCCAATTCTATTGACTATCATTCAGTCTCCTGAGCAGCAAACTGTACATCAGAGGTCGTATTCAGCAGGTTCTCACCAGTTCTGGAGAACCAGCAAATACCACTTCTGACTGGTCCTGCCTTCATCTATTCTCTGCCTCCCTAGACCCAGCTCAACAGAGGGATAATGTGAAGGCCACGTGAAGTTTCTAGTAGTACCTCTCCAAGGCACAGGCATAGGTCTTAAGAGATATTTTGAAAAGTTTACTCTCCGTTGCTGGTTTGATCGAGTGGGCTTACGTTGCTCCATAATCTTTTACAGCACTTTTTTTAATCTTAAATATCTGCATTATACTAATTTGGAACCAAGGAATAACAACGTTAGCAGCTGTATTTGTACAACCAAATGTCTGCAAACAGTGCAATCGATATAAGCACACACGCACACACACGGAATCAATTTTGTTTAAATTATAACGTTCACGCCTGTGTTACCTATTCAACCCAGAGATGGTATTCAGCAGGTTCTGACCCGTTCTGGAGAACCAGCAGCAGAAATTTTGAGTAGTTTGGAGAACCGGTAGTGGAAATTTTGAGTAGTTCAGAATACCCCCTCTGAGTGGCCCCGCCTCCCTCTATTCTCTGCCTTCTGAGTCCCAGCTTATCCGCTGAGTCTTCTTTGGTTGCCCTGCACAGGAGAACGGAGCTGGAAAGCAGGTTAGTAGGGTGGGAAGGGAATGAGATTTTGCAGTATCCTTCCCCTGGAGTGGGGAGATTTTGCAGTATCCTTCCCCTGCCACGCCCACCAGGCCATGCCCACCCAAGCCACGCCATACCCACCAGGCCACGCCCACAGAACCAGTAGTAAAAGAAATTTGAATCCCACCACTGATTCAACCTTACAAATGAGGACAAGTTCATTTGGATGTATATGATTGTTTCTAAAATCAGGAAATTTGCAGACAGACATAATAGTACGGCTAGGCAGGTTTCATCCAGAAATATAAACTCCCTGTTTGGAGAGCACAGGGATTGTGTTTAGCTCTGCAATGCTGTTTTACAATCCTGTACTAACAGCATGAAGCAGGCAGATTCTGCTACTCCAAGAGAGCAAGCAAATGATTTTAAATGCCAGACTTACTGGCCTGGGAGGAGCAAAACTTACAAATCTACAAATGTGATTAGCTTCATTCTGTGAAATCTGCTCTCCGCAACTTGTATTCTGCCGAGTAGAGCTTTCAACGCTTCATGCATAGCCCGGAGAACAAGAAAATATCCTTTTTTTTTTTTTTAACAAACTTTATTCAGTTTTTCACATTAAAAAAAAATATCTCTTTTTAGTGGACAACATGTTTCCGGGTCATCACCTTTACATACAAATATGACAGCAATTATACATTCATATATGCATACTTAATTCTATTATTACCTTTTCCATTCCAAATTTTCAGTAAGGAGAGAAACAAACACATTAATTCTAGCCTCTTTCATTAATCTCAATTGAAACATCTTTTTGTTTCATTTCAATTATTTCAAATATAATCCTTTAATATTTATTTTAAAAATAAAGATAAACAATATGTGTTTGCCTAATAATAATAATAATAATAATAATAATAATAATAATAATTACCAATGTCTCTCCTTGCTTTTAATAGTCTATATTAACTTATTAATTTAGTTGGTTCTTTAGTCTGTCATATTCCCTTTCCATTACACATTCTTTTTATAAATTCTAGATTAATACAAATTTTAACACTAAAAAAAAAAAAAAAGTATAGGTTTCCCCCCTTTTACTGTTTTAAGTGTGACACCTCAATGATTAAAATATACCTTTATTTCCTCATCTTAATTCCCAATAAACCATTATTTTTAAGAAGTTACAATAATAATCATTACATCTTTTCACTTGGATTCCGCAGCATATTTCCCCCCCCCTTGATTTTTAATAAGAGTTATCAGTATCTATATTACCCTATTTTCTAAATATTTTTAATTGCAGAAATATTCTTATTACCCCTTGTCACCCTGCAGGATCCCCTTTTTAATTCATCAACCATTATCTCTGAAAAAAAAACAATTTCTTTTCAACATTTTACTATTTCCATATTTCTTTATTTCATGCACCTGTTTCTTACTGCTTCTCCTCCCCCTCTTTTCCCCATATCTTTTCTCATTCCAGTTTATATCCCTCTCTTTCTTAATATCTTCCTTTCCCCTTTTCTGCTGGGTCTTTCTGTCTTTCCTGACTTCACAGGTATTCCCCCTTTTGATTGCCTTCTTAAATCTCAACTTTTTAACCTTCCTTCTTTCCCCACTTCTTTGTAGTGTTCTTTGTGTTAATTGTCTATTTAAAATGCCTTCTCCTTGAATCGATTCCTCCTCCTCTGAAGCTCTTTCTTCTTGTTCTTCAATTGCCATTTCCATTTTTTCTAACACAGAGCAAAGTGATTCGCCTCTTTCCTGTAATAATTCTCTCATACTTTTAAGTTCCATTTTTAATTCCCAAAGAGATATCATCATTACACACTCTTATATTTTTTGATCGTTAAAAGTCCACAAAAAAAAAACCCACTTTTACTTTCCTTCTTTCTTCTTTCAATTTTCTAAAGTTCTCAGTTATTCCAGCCCAGGGTCTATACCAAAAACATCAATCAATCCCACAGTGAGTCTTTCCTTGCTTTTTTCTTTATTCTGGTTCTGCTTTCAATTTCTAAGATTCTTACTTTGTTTCAATATTTCTTTAATGTTATATCCACACAAGTTCATTCAGAAACAGGATGCTTTCCTTTTTGTTTGAGCTCAATTTTTTGTCAAAAGGTGGCACTCTCCATTACACAAAGTCTTCACCTTTTCCCCCTATTTTTTAATTTAGGGCTTTTCGAACCTCAATATTCCAGCACAGTCCAGTCTCCAATTTGTAAACTTTATTATTATTATTTTTTGACAATCTTAAGTCCAGCTTTATTTTATGCCTGTTTATTCCCAAAATATTTTAATCCAATTTAGTTAAATCTTTAGTTCCAGCTTCTTCCTTTCCCGGTTCGAAGGCCCACTTAGCTGTCAAAAATATTTTCTTTTTTTTTTTCCTGTCCCTTTGTAAAAGAAAATATCCTTGAAGTGTAAAATGATGCAGAACTTGAGTGGGCTGAGATTATTAAATTTCCTAACTTGCCTGAGCCTTGTTCTTGGTTCACAGGTGGTGCCAGGCAAAACTCCAAGCTGTATGCATACAGTCTACAGATAGTCCTCAACCTACAACAATTTTTTCAATGACCGAAGTTTACAACGGCACTGAAAAAAGTGACATCAAAAACATCATGAAAAAAAGCACAACATAGAATGCGCTTTCTGCGCCAACTCAGAAAGCTCAAACTGCCCAAGGAGCTGCTGATCCAGTTTTACAGAAGAATTATTGAGTCTATCATCTGCACCTCTATAACTGTCTGGTTTGGTCCTGCAACCCAACAGGACAGACACAGACTTCAGACGATAATTAGGACTGCAGGAAAAACAATTACTGCCTTCAATCGAGGACCTGTATACTGCACGAGTCAAAAAGAGGGCTGTGAAAATATTTACAGACCTCTCACATCCCGGACATAAACTGTTTCAACTCCTTCCCTCAAAACGACGCTATAGAGCACTGCACACCAGAACAACTAGACACAAGGACAGTTTTTTCCTGAACGCCTTCGCTCTGCTAAACAAATAATTCCCTCAACACTGTTCAACTATTACAAAGTCTGCACTACTATTACTGTTAATCTTCTCACCACTCCTTATCACCCATCCCCTCCCACTTGTGACTGTATGACTGTAACTTTGTCGCTTGTATCCTTATGATTTATATCGACTGTTTCCTAGTATGATTCGATTGCTGATTGTACCCTATGACTATCATTAAGTGTTGTACATTATGATTCTTGATTCTTAACAAATGTATCTTTTCTTTTATGTTTACTGAGAGTATTTACACCAAGACAAATCTCTTGTGTGTCCAATAACACTTGGCCAATAAAGTATTCTGTTCTATTCTATTCTTATTTTTCACACTTATGACCTTTGCAGCATCCCGATGGACTTGTGATCAAAATTCAGAGGCTTGGCAATTGACTCATATTTATGACGGTTACAGTGTCCCTGGTTATGGGACCTCCTGACAACCAAAGTCCATGGTGAAGCCAGATTCACAGGACAACTGTGTTACTAATTCAACAACTGCAGTGATTCACTGAACAGCTAAGAATGTTCATAAAATGGGGCAAAATTCACTTAATGGCTGTCTTGCTTAGCAATGAAAATTTTGAGCTCAATTGTAGATTGACTGTAGATAGTCAGTCAGGTGGAATAGTCCAGGTTTGGACAGAAGGATGCAATAAATGACCATTTGATATGCTTTTGGGATATATTAATGTTCCTTAATCCGATGCTTCAAGATATATTGGACTTAAATTCCATAATACCCAGCCTGAATTTACTTTGGACTTGCTGACTGGAGCTGATAAAAGTCAAAAAAATCTTTGAAGGTTGTGGAGTTGCCTACTTCTGCGCAAACTACAACCTTGTAGTACAAATGTCTACATTTGTAAGATGTCAGTGGCCACTGGGAAAGCCAAGGGAAATCATCAGAACCATAAAAAAGCAAATGTTAGAATATTTTGGACATGGGATGCGACACCCGGAAAAATACGGCATCCTTCACTTAATCTTCCAAGGTAAGATTGAAGGCAAACAAGATCCAGGCAGAAGAAGAACATCAGGGCTTCCAAAGGGAAGAACCACTTTCTAAGGGAGTGGTTACTCAGCAGCACTTTTCCATGTGGCTGTTGATAAAAATAGGATCGCCAACATGAACGCCAACGAAGAGTACTCCACTCCTCTACTCACAATAGTATTCCTTATGCGTCCAGGCTTGAAATGTTGGGCTTGGACAATCTTGAACTGCGCCGCCTACGGTCCGATCTAAGCATCATTCACAAAATTGTCTGCTATTACATCTTGCCCGTCAATGACTTCTTCAGCTTCAATCACAATAATACACGGGGAAACAACTGATACAAACTCAAGGTAAACCGCTTCAAACTCGATTGCAGAAAATACGACTTCCGCAACAGAGTGGTCAACGCCTGGAACGCCCTACCTGACTCTGTGGTTACAGCCTCAACCCCTCATAGATTTAACCTCAAACTCTCTTCCGTGGACCTCACCCCATTCCTAAGAGGTCCTTAAAGGTGGCATGCATAAGCGCACCAGCGCGCCTAACGTCCCTGTCTTACTGTCTCCATTTATCCATATTTACTTCCTTTGTTCATGTTTATGTTTATACCTATACTTGTTATCTTGTACATGTTTGACAAATAAATAAATAGATAAATAAATAAATAAATGTCCATGACTGATATGGCACAACAAGAGTGTCCAATGACCAACATTTATTACGTGCTTCCATGCTACTGAATATTTTTTTTTCCCTAGCCAACATCTGCCTCGGCAACTCTACATGTGTTAAATCAGCAAGCTACTTACGTCTTTGGTAGATTCCTTGTAAACGCAGGGGGCCCCTCTTGAAATGCATTCAGGGCAGCACTTGCCTGGTAAATGAAATAATTCTTCACCCTGCAGAGAAATTGAGCATTACAATAAGATAACTAGAATCAGCTGGTTTGTTTTTTTAATGATACCCAGAGAAGAGATGGGAGAGATGGCCTTTCCCCCCCACCCCCCAGGACACAGTCTTTAAAATCCTATTTTATCACTCGTTCCATCACTGAGTCCCCTTCCAAAAAGATAAGTATCACTGTGACTCTACAAAGACCGCACACAAGCTCTCCTTGAAATGCCACAACAGTGACAAGTGATTGTCCAGTATCTTGTTAAAAACCTCCAGTGATGGAGCATCCACAACTTCTGGAGGCAAGTTGTTCCACTGATGAATTGTTCTAAATGTCAGGAAATTCCTCCTTAGTTCTAGGTTGCTTCTCTCCTTGGTTAGTTTCCACCCATTGCTTCTTGTCCTGCCCTCAGGTACTTTGGAGAATAGTTTGACTCCCTCTTCTTTGTGGCATCATCTGAGATATTGGAAGACTGCTACCATGTCATCCCTAGTTCTTCTTTTCATTAAACTATTTTTTATTTATTTTGATTTATTTTGATTTGTCAATCGCTTACAAGATAATAGGTATAAGTTTATACATAGTTATGAATACATGAAATGGGTACATATAAGAAAAATAAAAGAAACAATAGGACAGGGACGGTAGGCACGTTGGTGCGCTTATGCACGCTGCCTACAGACCTCTTAGGAAAGGGGTGAGGTCAATAATAGACAGTCTAAGGTTAAAGTTTGTGGGGTTTGGGGAAGAAACCACAGAGACAGGTAGAGTATTCCAGACATTGACCACTCTGTTGCTGAAGTTGTATTTCCTGCAATCAAATTTGGTGTGGTTTACCTTGAGTTTGTATCTATTGTGTGCTCTTGTATTGTTATGGTTGAAGCTGAAGTATTCATTGACAGGTAGAACATTGCAATGTATGATTTGTTTCCATCCATTGTTTCTTGTCCTGCCTTCAGGTGCTTTGGAGAATAGCTTGACTCCCTCATCTTTGTGGCAATCCCTGAGATATTAGAACACTGCTATCATGTCATCCCTAGTCCTTCTTTTCATCAGACTAGACATACCCAGTTCCTGCAACCGTTTTTCATATGTTTTAGCCTCCAGACCCCCAATCATCTTTGTTGCTCTTCTCTGCCCATCTCTTTTTATAGTGGAGTGATGAAAACTGGATACAGGCCATAGGTTCATCTCAATGGAAAGGCCTAGAAAGAAATGCTACAGGAGCCAGTCCTTTACCTGGGCAGCCCCGGCTCTCCTGCTTCATTTAAATTCACTGCAGGCCCCCCAATTTCACTTTTGTGTGCTGGCTTCATTGTTCAAGTCAAGGAGATCTCTCTTGGTTCATGAAAGGGCCACAATCTCTCTTGAACAAGCTACTCTTTTATGGGAAAGAGAAGAGTGCAAAACCCTTGAGAGGTCGGCTTCAGTTCAAGCCAATGGACAGAGAATTGCTTTTTTTTTTTCTACAAGACTCGAACAAGGAATTAGTTAATAATTGAAGCTTTTCCAAGGCAGTGCGGTGAGGTAACAGCAGCATTGGAAGGGGAAGGATTGGGGTTCTTTAATGTTTTCAAGGAATGGGGGATATGGCCTCCTAGATTCCGTCAGGGACATAAAACACCCCTTCTGGACAAGGCTCAAATTGTCCTACTGCAAACAAAAACCTAGAAGACTCCAAGGCTGGGAAAGATAGAAGGAAAGAGAAGAAGGTGGAGTCATGGCGGCTCAGTGGTCAGAGTGCTACTTCTGCTGACTGCCGGCTGCCTGCAATTTGGCAGTTGAAATCTCACCAGACTCAAGGTTGACTCAGTCTTCCATCCTTCTGAGGTGGGTAAAATGAAGACATGGAAACGGATCAAGGAGAGAACCAACCTAGAACTAAGAAGAAATTACCTAACAGTGGGAACAATTAACCAGTGGAACGGAAGTTGTGGGGGCTTCATCAGTGGAGATTTTTGAGAAGAGACTGGACAGCCACTTGTCTAAAATGGTGTAGGGTCTTCTGCTTGGGAAGGGGAGTTGGACTAGAAGACTTCCAAGAGGTCCCTTCCAACTGTGTTGTTTTATTATTCAATCTGAAAACCAATTATTTCTGTATCTGATGTTTCCAGGAACTTGAATAAAAAAGGCCACTTTTTAAAAAATATTCTGAATAAGCGAAACATAGAGATAATGTCAACTCATAAAATATTTCTATGGTCTTTTTAGAATTGCCAACAGAAAGGGAGGGGGAAGCAGTGTGGCAGCTTGCAAACTGAAACTGCATTCCATGAATGTTTTCAAAGATAGTAACTAGGTGACCAAAGTTTCTGCCGTGCAAAATTCTAACTGGAGAGCATGATTGATGACTCTGGGCTATGGATGTGTCCCATTGGAGAATATGAATTATGATACATCCAGGGGTTGGGGGAAAACCAGGGTCAAGGGTGACAATGAATTATGTGTCTCAGAGTCAGCTACACCCAGGCAGTGCCGGACATGTTAACTCCTGTTACATGTGAAAATTTGCCTAGTACACCTAAGAATATATATAACCAGAGAGACTCCATATTTGTTCTTAATCTGGCATTCTAGATATCAGAACATTTATATAACTTGTTATTTTTGCTAAAGTTCTGCAAAGTTACAAAATATTATGTCCTTGGCTTGATTTGAGATTTCATACTAGGTCGCCCTGACATTAGAAGTTTGTTAATGATCTATTGTGTGATCTTTTAAGTGAAAAACAGGAAATCTGATGATGAAGATGAACATGAGACGAGCTAGGGGATTTCCATGGGAGAAGTTTGGGAGGACTTATGGAAAAACACCCAGGACTACTCATTTCTTTCTTATGGAAGTCACTATAACTCCTATGTGTGAAAAACAGGAAGTATTATGTAATCTTTTAAATGTAAAAACCTATATAAGGCTGTAATTACTCCAAGGGGGTGTATCCATCTCCTAATCTGTTATTGGAAGGTGGAGTCCGGTATTTGCAAATATCTTACAGCAAGGCCTTCTACAGGTCTTGGTTGTCACAGTCTGTTATTTTTCTTTTTATTAAATTCTCTCAATTCCCAATAAATCCTTTTGAAGTTTGGCTTGAGACTCATGATTTAAATGGGGGTAACTGCTGGAATCCTGACAGCTAACTTGGAAATTCTTTACCTGGCCACAGTCCACTTTGGCACACTTGGCTTTCCGACAAGCAACCTGGCCTCCATCACAGCTACAGAAGTTACAGTCCATATCGTGCCACATGTCCCTGTGGTATTTGAGGGTGCCGTTGTGCACACAGCTGCCCTTGGAAAGGACACACTCTTCACAACATTTCCCTGGGCGCCGCGCTTTCTCTTCGTCCTGAGAAGATGCGAGTAAGTGGAAGATTGGAGACATGAGAAGGGGGAAAATCTCCCAGAAAAATCTCCCAAGTTTTAAGCTTAGGAATTTACCTTTGGACAATTCAGTGGGAGGCAGCTCTTCGTAAAGCACCTGGATTCTCCTCCGTCACATACGCAGGTTGTGCAAGCATCTTTCTTCCACTCTTCCCCAGGCTGCATAACAAACAAAAGCATTTGAACGACGGCTGGTCCTCGACTTACAACCATTTGTTTAGTGACCGTTTAAAGTTAATGCCAGCTCTGAAAAAAAAAAGTGACTCAGGGCTCAGGGTTTCACCCTTATGACTGCTGCAGCATCCCCCATGCAGGGTCACACGGTCAAAGTTTGGTCGCTTGGCAACTGGCATGTACAGGTAGTCCCTGACTTACAACCATTAGTTTAGTGACTTTTTGACATTAGGAGGTACAGAAAAAAGTGGCTTTTGACTGGTTTTCACACTTACGACCGTTGCAGCATCCCCAGGGTCACGTGATCAATATTTGGGCACTTGGCAACCAGCTCATATTTATGACGGTTGTGGTGTCTCAGAGTCGTATGATCCCCTTTTGCGACTTTCTAATGAGCAAAGTCAAGGTGGAAGCCAGATTCACTTAACAACTTATGTATGCAAGCATCTATCTATCTATCTATCTATCTATCTATCTATCTATCTATCTATCTTATCTATATATCATCTATATCATCTATCTATTTTATCTTATCGATCATCTATATCATCTATCTATCATCTATGTCTAATTATCTATCTAATCTATCTATCATCTATCTATCTCTAATCTATTTCTATCTCTACATCCGTCTATCTATCATCTATCTATATTATCTATCTATTATCTATATCATCTATTTATCTATATATCTATCTTATCTATATATATATATATCTTATCTATCGCATCTATCATCTATCTAATCTATCATCTATATCATCTATTTTATCTATATATCTATCTTATCTATCATCTAATTATTTATATATCTACCTTATCTATATATCTATCTTATCTATCTCATCTATCATCTATCTATCTTATCCATCATCTATATCATCTATTTTATCTATATATCTATCTTATCTATTATCTATCTCATCTATCATCTATCTATCTTATATATCATCTATATCATCTATTTTATCTATAATCTACTATCTATCTCTAATCTATTTCTATTTGTACATCCATCTGTCATCTATATTATCTATCTTATCTATCATCTACATCTATCTTATCTATCATCTAATTATCTATCTAATCTATCATCTGTCTATCTCTAATCTATTTCTATCTCTACATCCATCTATCTATCTATCTATCTATCTATCTATCTATCTATCTATCTATCATCGATATCATCTATTTATCTATATAACTACCCTATCTATATATCTATCCATCATCTATATCATCCATCTTATCTATCATCTATCATCTATATCATCTATCTTATCATCTATCTACTATCTATCTCTAATCTATTTCTATTTGTACATCCATCTATCATCTATATTATCTATCTTATCTACCTATTATCTATATCATCTATCTTATCTAATTACCTATCTAATCTATCATCTATCTCTAATCTATTCTATCTCTACATCCATCTATCTATCATCTATCTATCTATCTATCTATCTATCTATCTATCTATCTATCTATCCATCTATCTAATCTATCATCTATCTACTATTTACTTATCTCAAATCTATTTCTATCTCTCTCTCAATTTCTCTCTCTATATATATATCTATCTATTATAAAATTTATTTGCCGCCCATCCCATATCCCACAGCTGTTACTAAGTTAACAACTGCAGTGATTCGCTTAACAATTGTGCAAGAAAGCTCGTAAAATGGGGGCAAAATTTACTTAACAACTGTCCTGCTTAGAAAATGAGAATTTGGTGCTCAACCATAGTCGTAAATCGAGGACTGCTTGCATTCTGTTCGTTTTGACTGCCAATGCCCACCAGAAGTCACGGTTAGGGTGCTAGTCAAATGCACCCTTCTCAGCCAGGAAGCCAATCTGAGTTCACAACCCTTTTCTCCACTTCACTCAAGAACCGTCTTATTTGCCTTAGTTGATAGGCCCCATTCAGTCTTGCCAGAACATTCCTTCCTTCTTTTGATCCCTTTCAACTCATTGGGCTTCCCAGGAAGAAAGCGCAGTGAATTGTTTGTTTTTGAAGTTAAAATTTCAAGTAGAAGAAGAGGGACAAAGAAAAATGCACATCAAATTCGTCCTTGTGGCATTTTATCTGAAGGTTACCTGGTATAATGTCCCAAATGCAAAGCAGGGTTTTTGAGCACACTCTGGACAACATTTTCCAGCTGGTACGACGAGACTTTGATCCTAATCATTGACAGAGGAAAGTGGGGGAGGGAAGCAAATGAAATAGAGGTAAGACGCCAAAGGCCAAAAGATTGTACGGAGTTTCAAGCTCATCTTATATCTCTCTCCCACTGAAGAAGAAGTTATGTTTTTATTTAATAATAACTCTATATTCCATCACTCTCCGAATGTGTCTCAAAACTGCAGAGGATAGGAAGGAAGGAAGGAAGGAAGGAAGGAAGGAAGGAAGGAAGGAAGGAAGGAAGGAAGGAAGGAAGAAAGAAAGAAAGAAAGAAAGAAAGAAAGAAAGAAAGAAAGAAAGAAAGAAAGAAAGAAAGAAAGAAAGAAAGAAAGAAAGAAAGAAAGAAAGAAAGAAAGAAAGAATTCTTTATTGGCCAAGTGTGATTGGACACACAAGGAATTTGTCTTTGGTGCATATGCTCTCAATGTACATAAGAAAAAAATTAAGTACATTCATTAAGAATCATAGGATAGAACATTTAGAGATAGTCGTAGGTTACTAACAAGCAATCAAATCATACTAGGAAACAAATAAAGCAATATTCATTTATGTATATACTTATACCTATTATCTTGTAAGTGACTGACAAATCAAAATAAATAAAATAAAAATAAATTATAAATTGTAAAGATACAAGCAACGCGATTATAGCCATAAGTGGGAAGAGAGAGGTAATAGGAAGGATGATGATGATAATAATAATAATACATTAATAGTAATACATTATTATTTGATAAAAAGAAGAATTAATTGAAACTTCTATGCTATGATTGAAACAAAAATCACTAAATCGTGAAAATTAATGACCACTTATAACATAACAATACAAAGTAAAAAAAAAGGATCTTTAGAATCCTTCAACCAGTTCAACATTCTATGAATTACGGATTGCCCTCGATGTACAACCATTCATTTAGTGACGGTTCAAAGTTACAACGGCATTAAAAAAAAGTGACTTATGATCATTGTTCACGCTTACAACCGTGGTGGCATTCCCCATGGTCACGTGATCAAAATTCAGAGGCTTGGCAACCAACTCGTATTTATGATGAATGCAGTGTCCCAGACTCCTGCGATCCCATTTTGTGACCTTCTGACAAGCAAAGTCGATGGGGAAGCCAGATTCACTTAACAACCTTGTAACTAACTTAACAAGTTACTGATGCCCTGAACAACTGTGACAAGGCAGGTCGTAAAATGGGACAAAACTCACTTAACATCTGTCTTGTTTAGGAATAAAAATCTGGGGCCGAATTATGGTCGCAAGCCGAGGACTACCTGTATGCATTCTTAGTGAGGAAGAAGAATGGTAACGGATTCAGAGAAACCTGCAAAATCTCACCCTCTGCAACTTTCAGACTTTGCAGATAATTTGCGGCTGCCAAAAAAGGAGACTGGGAAGCGTGATGGACGGGGTGACATAGCTCAATACTTAAAAAGAGAAAAATTCAGACGAAGCAACCCGCTTATTTGATGTCCTTCACATACCTTAAGATTAAACCCAGCTGGAGATTCTATCAAAGAACACAGAAAAGAGAAATTGCTCCAAGATTGCTAGGAGGGTTTTGTCCTCTCCCCAAGACTCATCTTACGGCTGAGACAGCGAATAAGAAAAGAAGAGGGATGTCATATTTGCCAAAACCTACCGATTACCCTGTCTTTTTTTAAACACAGTAGGACGATATTTGTTTGACATAATACTTGGGTCTAAGGTGGCCTCAAATCAAAAAGATTCTGGAAGGCTCTTTTCCCGCTAACAAATTGTACTGAAAGGCATAATGTCAGGGTTTGTTGTGGTTCACCGGCAGCAGATGCGGATGGCTGAGGTCTCAGAGAGCAAGGACTCAGATGAGGGGCCTGCGTGTGATGCAGGGATGGGGCCAATCAGGATACTGTACCAGTTGCTAGGTGACTCCAGTTCTCTCCTTCTGAGCACCAGCCGGAATGTCCTTGGTTCCCAAGAGAAAGCACTTTGTTTTGACTACAACACCCCAACTGTCTCTATTCCCCCCTCACTGTCCCTCTTCTCCAGTGTGTCAGCGCTCAAGTCTCAAAATAGCCTCAGTCAGGCCAGCTGCAGCATGCGTAGAAGCACAGACTGATGCTGGATGTAAACTTATGGCTAGACTCATCTAAGTTTATGCCTGTGGTGGAATGTAGTCTGGATTCCCAAGAGGGAGGGGCTGCATTCCAGAGGAATAAGAGTCAACAAAGTGTAGATAATTGGGAGGAATTATTGGGAGGAAAAGAGTCAAAATAGTTTGACTCTCTTAGAAGTTCTGTCTATAAGTGTGGAATAATAAACCGCTTAGAAGTAACTCTATAAACTGGTCTGTCTTGGTTTTGGAAGCCTGACAATGCCTTTGAATAAAATGTATTAGCTACTCTGCTTCTCGCTGTCTTCTTTGCTATGTCTTAGGGCAGTGGTTCTCAACCTGTGGTCCATGGACCTCTGGAGGGGCCACGATGTGGACACAGGGGGTCCACGAAGGCTTGAAAAAATGTTATGATTTAAATCTTGAGTCTTGGGTGTCTGTGGCCACAACAGGTATTTAAAGAGGGTCCGTGGTGAAGAAAAGGTTGGAAACCATGGTTAGGATAAAGCTTACAGTACAACAGGGGTGGAGAACCTAGAGCCAATGAGCTGCATGTAAACCCCACCACAAAATTTTCATGACTTCAAAGCATGTCCCAATATTACATTGCCGAAATATAAAATAGTATGGTGTATTAAGTTTCCAGTACAGTTAGAATAACTTTTAAAGTTTTCTTTTAAAAAAGCACATCCCAATTCATCGCATTTTGTAAAGGTATCATGAAGCACTTGATGTCATTGTGATGTTGCGTTGGGGAGGATGCTGCCGCAGGAACAAAAATAAAAAACAGAGAAGAAATGCAGAAGTCCATTTTAGGATGAATTGGTGCAGGGGTTAGAATGCAGTACTGCAGGCCAATTCCGTGGACTGCCGATTGCCAGCAGTTCGATTCTGACCGGCTCAAGGTTGACTCAGCCTTCCATCCTTCCAAGGTCGGTAATATGAGGACCCAGATTGTTGGGGAGCAAAAGGTTGATTCTGTAAAACCGCTTAGAGAAGGCTGTAAAGCACCATGAAGTGGCATATAAGTCTAAGTGCTATTGCCACTGCTATTTATCTTCCTTTGGAACGTCATGTTGAAAATCCAGAAACTATCTCCAAAGCAATTGAGTCCCACAGGGAAGGGATCGAGGGCTGATGATGATGGTTGTGAAAGCAATACCCCATCCTTGTGAAATGTATTGATGCATTTATGTATGCATGTTATTTATTTTACATATTGCTAAACCACCCATGTTGCTCGAACAGCTGCTTTGCTGGAAATGCGCAGGTGATCCAAGTGAAAAAAGATAACAGATAACAGATAATCAGAGTTGGAAGGGACCTTGTAGGTCATCTAGTCCAACCCCTCCCCTGCCCAAGCGGGAGACCCTACACCATTTCTGACAAATGGCAGTCCAATCTCTTCTTGAAGGTCTCAAGTGATGAAGCTCCCACAACTTCCAAAGGCAATTCTGTTCCATTGGTTGATTGTTCTCACTGTCAGAAAGTTTCTCCTTATTTCCAGGTTAAATCTCTCCTTGTTCAGTTTCCATCCATTATTCCTTGTCTGGTCTTCAGGTGCTTTAGAAAATAGCTTGACCCCTTCCTCCTCTCTGTGGCAGCCCCTCAAATATTGGAAGACCGCTATCATGTCTCCCCTGGTCCTTCTCTTTACTAGACTAGCCAAGCCCAGTTCCTGTAACCATTCTTCATATGTTCTTCATATGTTTTAGCCTCCAGTCCCCCTTTATAGCTCCCGCTGCCTTAAGAAAGTTCAAAACATTCTCAAAGATCCATCTCATCCTGGGCACCCTTTTCTTGAACTACTACCATCTGACAGACAGTACAGGATAATAAAAACAAGGACAAATAGGCTGAAAAACAGCTTCTATCCCAGGGCAGTAGCTCTTTTGAATTCTGCTGTATAGTACAGTGTTAGTGTGGTGTCGGAGGTTTCCGGTTCAATGTGTGGAGTATGAAGGATGTGTGTTTGTGTTTATTTTCATGGTCATGATGTGCACTGAAGATGGTGTTTGATTTCATTGTATGAGGTGCAATGGCAATAAAGTAAAGTAAAGTAAAGTAAAGTAATCATCCTGGTTGCTCTTCTCTGTACTTTTTCTAGAGTCTCAACATCTTTTTTATAATGTGGTGACCAAAACTGGATGCAGTACTCTAGGTGTGGTGTTACTAAGGTTTTATAGAGTGGTATTAGTACTTCCCTTGATCTTGATTGTATCCCTCTGTTAATACAATTTAGGATTGCATTAGCTTTTTTGGCTGCTGCTGCACACTGCTGGCTCATATTTAGCTGGTTGTCCACTAAGACTCCAAGATCCCTCTCACAGTTACTGCTATTGAGGCTGGTTTCACCCAGTCTATAAGTGTACTTTTGGTTTTTCTTGCCTTAGTGTAGGACTTTACTTTTCTCTACATTGAATTTCATTTTGTTAGATACAGCCCAGTGTTCTAGTCTGTCAAGATCCATCTGGATCCTGAGCCTATCTTCTGTGGCTGTGATTTAATTATGCTACTATCTTGATTTATTTTTCAACATCCCCGGTAGATGCTCCTGCTCGATAATTAGCCAGGAGAGAACTGTTTCAGGAATCATTGCAGTCATACAGGATTAAAGTAATCTGAATTTTGGATATTGGATGCCTTTGCACTTGTATACAGGCATGATATTCCCTTCTGAAAAAAAAATCGGGGCCGGCCAAAAGAGACCCCCCCACCGCGCGCCAAGAAATCGCTGCCCAGCTCCCTTTTCCTGCTGCTCAGCGGGCTCCGCTCCCACCGCCCGGGCTCCGCTCAGGTATCTGGCTGGGGCTGTCAGGAGTTGCTACCGCGTTGCCTCGGGAAGGGAAAGGCAAAACCAGGAGCCGCTGCTGCCGTTGCAAAGCGCCGCCGCGGCTCTTCCTTTTTGCCTTTCCCTTCCTGAGGCAACGCGGGACTGGAACCACGCAGAGCCGCGCCAGCGGTAGCAACTCCTGACTCGGGGCCTCCGAGGGGAGGGGAAGGAGGAGAAGAAGGGGGGGAAAGGGGGGGCGATTCCCAAAAAAATCGGAATTCCGATTTTAATCGGAAGAATATCATGTCTGTTGTATAGGAAAGGAATCCAATCTAGGTCGGTCACTGAGACAAGAGGTTTAGTCTTCTGAAGAGTGTGTGCTTCCTCTGCTAGAGAGAACTTCCCTGAGGATGGGCTCCAGCATGAATCCAGAAGCTCCAGAAGACAAAAACCTTTGGTCCTGGTGAAAAGATCCAGATTGGATCTTGCAACATTATCCTGGGACAAGTATATTTGCCTTCATTCGTGAAAAGAAAAATCTTTGTGTGGCTAGAATTACAAAGAGAATAATGCTCCATTAAAATATTTTTTTGTTAATATCCTGGAGGTATTATATTCTGGGAAGAAATAATTGCATACATTAATCTTGCGGCAAGGTTTAATATTTCCAGACACCGGTATTTAATGTTACCTAATGTACATGAGAATGGGTGGTTGCAATAGAAATAATCGAAATTGAACCTCAATGTTCCGCTTAAAAAAGTAGTCATTCAACACTGGGGAAAAAATAAATTTACGGCTTCAATTCCTCGGTGATTTGAAGTCCTGCAGTTATTGCAACTTATGAACAAGTTGCTTGCAAAGATTAGGTGTGGGCAATTACAATGAAAAGGAGTCATCCTTTATTATTCAAACTCTGCGTGTGTGGTGGGGGGGATGTCCCTTTTCCTTCATACACACACACACACACACACACACACTCATGAAGAAAGACCTCGTATTTGTAATGTGACTCCTGCTGGCTCTTTAAATTCAGGATGGAAGAGTGAAAGGAGACCACTGCAAGAGAGAAATTGTTTACTGCTGAAGTTGATGGTCCGTGTTGTTTGGCCTCCTGCTGCTAAGCACCATGTTCCTCCTAGTAACCCAAATGACTAGTCACCGATTTAGGGAGAGGCATTCCTCTTAAATGTGGAATAAAAGGAAAGCCAATAAGACAAGACACTTGTTTAATAGTAAAAGAATGGTGTGGCTTTAGAAATGGGTGGCTGTAAGAGACGGAATGGCAGATAGAAGAGAGCACTAGATAAGAGCTAACAGAATTCAAGAGAGCTTGTGCGTACATTAGTGATTCTAGGCTGATTCCTCTCTTGACTCCACCTTCAGGCTCTGTCTGTCTTTCTCCTACAGAGGTAGATTTTTCTAGTGATTTCCCAGCTCTACTCCACAATGAATGATGGAACAACTTCTGTCCATGATAGAGTTAGAACAAAAGAGGCTCACTCTCTTTATTTGTGAGGACACGGTATTCCTAAATACGTTACAACGTCAAATAAGACGTATGTTCTATTTTCTGGTTCATAGCTACTTGCCCTAAATATTTAAAGCCTACTAGACACACACACATTACATGTGATAAAGCTTTAACTCTCTTACTTAATTAAGAGGTAAAGCAAAAAAGGACATCAATATTTAACTTAACTGGGAAGGGAGAAAAGGGAAACACAGCATCAATATTTTATTGAAATAACAGAATCTAGCAATTTGGTCACTGATTACAAGCAGAGTGACTTATAAACACTTGGCAATTCATTAAAATGCAATTATGTGCTAAGAGCAAATTAAGGCTGTAGTAAAGCCTTGATTTAATGGACCATTAGCGGGAGGATGTCTTGTTTTCCCAAAGGTCCGTTAAATCCAAATTTATGTCATTTGTGTTAATTTACCTTATTTTTACCTCATTTGCATCACGATTTCATGACACAGTTGGTACAAGTGGCATAAACAGTGCCATGTCCTTTACATGAGTTAAATGTGTGTAACATGAATATGCAAAAGAAGGTACATTAAGATAATTGTCTGGACTACTTTGGATATAACAGACTGAAACGATTCGTTTGGAAATGTAATTATCAGATACTTCTGAGGTCCATTAATTGGGGACTTTTACAGTCAAAGGTCCTCGGGTGATTATACAAGTAGTCTTTGACTTATAACAGTTTATTTAGTGATGGTCCGAAGTTACAATGGCAGTAAAAAGGGACATGACCATTTTTCACACTTACACTGTAATACCCCCATGGACACCTGATCAAAATTCAGATGCTTGGCAACTGACTCATATTTATGACGGTTGCAGTGCTCTGGGGTCATGAGATTCCGTTTAACAGATAACAGATAATCAGAGTTGGAAGGGTCCTTTAAGTCATCTAGTACAACCCCTTGCCCAAGCAGGAGACCCTACACCATTTCTGACAAATGGCAGTCCAGTCTCTTCTTGAAAACCTCCAGTGATGACTCTCCCACAGCTTCCGAGGGCAAACTGCTCCATTGGTTGATTGTTCTCACTGTCAGAAAATTCCTCCTTATTTACAGGTTAAATCTCTCCTTGATCAGTTTCCATCCTTTGCTTCTTGTCCTGCCCTCAGGTGCTTTGGAAATTAGCTTGACCCGCTTCCTCTGTGGCAGCCCCTCAAATATTGGAAGACTGTTATGATGTCTCCCATGGAACTTCTCTTCACTAGACTAGCCAGGCCCAGTTCCTGCAACCATTCTTCACATGTTTTAGTCTTCAGTCCCCTAATCATCCTGGTTGCTCTTCTCTGTACTTTTTCTAGAGTCTCAACATCATTTTATAGTGTAGTGACCAAAACTGGATGCAGTACTCTAGGTGTGGCCTTACTAAGGTTTTATAGAGTGGTATTAGTACCTCATTTGATCTTGATTGTATCCCTCTGTTAATGCAATTTAGGATTGCATTAGCTTTTTTGGCTGCTGCTCCACACTGCTGGCTCATATTTGGCTGGTTGTCCACTAAGATTCCAAGATCCCTCTCACAGTTACTGCTATTAAGCCTGGTTTCACCCAGTCTATATGTATACTTTCAGGGGGTTTTGTCTAAGTGTAGGACTTTACTTTTCTTGACATTGAATTTCATTTTGTTGTTCTTGTTGCTGTTGTTGTTGTTATTATTATTATTATTGTTGTTGTTATTTTAAATACTCTATAGTGTGATTGTGATGTGGTGTTTGGGGTACTGTGTTGGAGTAGCTTTCAAATTTCATTGTATTCATGGAATGCAATGACAATAAAGGTATTCTCTCTCTAACTGCTTTCAATATTTGGGAGAAGCAGCAGTAGCCAGGTAAAAATACTTCCCATCCTTACTTCTCGAAAATCCAGCACAGCTCATACTTTTTCTCAAAGTATTGTAAAAGTCTACGGCTCCAGAAACATGAGAGGAGAAGGGAAGGAGGAAGAGGAGGAGGAGATGGAGGAGAAAGGGGGGGACAGGGAGGGGGCAGGGGAACAAATGAGTGGAGGAGGAGGAAGGGAGGAGGAAAAAGAGGAGGAGGGGAAGGGGAGGGGAGGAGAAGTGGAGAGGGAGAATGGGAGAAGCGGGGAGAGGAGGAGGAGGAGAGGGGAGGAGAAGAGGAGGAGGAAAAGGAGAGGAACGGGATAGGAAGGGAAGCAGTAGAGGGGGACAAGGGGGGAGGAGGAAGAGGAGAAGGGGAAGGGGGACAGAAAACGGGAAGAAGAAGAAGGGGAAGAGGAAGAGGAGGAGGAACAGGAGGAGCTGGAAGTGATGTCTGGAATGTATGACCATTACAGGCAAGAAAGAAAGCTATTAGTCAATTGCCCAGGATCACACAAGCCACAAAACCCTATTTCTATGGGGATGCAACTGAGCAGGTGCGCTTCCTGATGATGTCATCAAGCCAAATCAGAGCGAGGGAACGCAGCTATTCAAACGGAAGAATTCTTTGGCCAAGCAGAAGAGGGGAGCCCAGTCTTTCATTTTATTGCACCTCTCCATAGCTGTAATTACGTTTCCTCTAGGAAACGTAAAATAGGGCCCGGTCTGTAAGCCTGTTTTCATTTATATTTTCAGTATAGAAAATTGTCAGGCAGCAGTTTCTCACGAGAGGATGCCTCGTCTAATTACAGTTTTTAAAAGTAATAAAATGCAAAGAAGTTGACGGCATGCATAATCTTACCGCATTACAGAATGCAGGTGGACAAATGACGGTGGAACACTGCAGAGAGCCATCCCGACAGATGCATTTGGCACACGGGCTCAGCTGCCATTCCTTCTTGTTCGGGATTATTTCTCCATCAAAAGCACAAGAGTCTAAAAGACATTAAAGACGGCCAAATTGGGTTCTGTGTTTATTACATTACAAGCAGGGCATATTAGAAGACAGATAACAGAATAACAGACTTGGAAGCAGTGGTGGGATTCAAATAATTTAACAACCAGTTCTCTGCCCTAATGATTTCTTACAATAATCAGTTCACCAAGCTGCTCAGAAAGTTAACAACCGGTTCTACTGAACTGGTACGAACTGGCTGAATCCCACCACTGATTGGAAGGGAGCTTGGAGGTCTTCTAGTCCAACCCCCTGCTCAAACAGGAGACCCTATACCAATAAAGACAAATGACTGTCCAGTCTCTTCTTAAAAGCCTCCAGAGATGAGCAACTACAACTTCTGAAGGTCATTTCACTGGTTAATTGTCCTCACTGTTAGGAAGTTCCAAGTCGCTTCTGTCCTTGATTAATTTCCATCCATTGCTTCTTGTCCTGCCTTCTGGTGCTTTGGAGAATAGTTTGACTACCTCTTCTTTGTGGCAGCCCCTCAAATATTGGATGACTGCCATCATGTTTCCTGTAGTCCTTCTTTTCTCTAGATTAGACTTACCAAATCATCCCCAAATCATCCCCTAATCATCCCCAATCATCGTTGTTGTTCTTCTCTGTTTATTTTAGTTTACTTTATTGTCATTGCACCTCATTCAAACACCATCTTCAGTGCACATCATGATAATAAACACAAACACACATCCTTCACCCTCCACACAATGAACCGAAAACCCGACACCACATCAACACTGCATTATACAGCAGGATTCAAAAGAGCTACTGCCCTGGGATAGAAGCTGTTTTTCAGCCTATTTGTCCTTGTTTTTATTATCCTGTACTGTCTGCCAGATGGTAATAGTTCAAAAAAAGGGGGTGCCCAGGATGAGATGGATCTTTGAGAATGTTTTGAACTTTCTTAAGGCAGCGGGAGCTATAAAGCTCTTCCAAAGAGGGGAGAGGGCAGCCCATGATCTTCTGGGCAATGAATTAACCCTCTGGAGCACTTTCCTATCTGCCCCTGTGCAATTGGCAAACCATACAGAGGTGCAATAAATTAAGATACTCTCTGGTGCAGCGGTAGAAGGTCACCAGCAGTTTTTCATCCAGTTCTTATTTCCTGAGAAGTCTCAGATAGTATAATCTCTGCTGGGCCCTTTTGACCAGGGCTGCAAGGTGAGCACCCCAGGTCAGGTCCTCTTTTATGGTAACACCCAGAAACTTAAAACTGCCCACTTGCTCCACTCGGTCCTTGGTCTTATTGGTGTTGAGGACCAAGTTATTGTCTCCAAACCACAAAAGCAACCGGTCTACCGCATCTCGGTAGGCAGACTCATCCCCCACGGAGATGAGTCCCCCCAATATTGTATCATCTGCAAATTTAGCAATAGTATTACTAGCATGAGTGGGAATGCAGTCATTCACATAAAGAGTATAGAGTAAGGGACTCAACACGCAACTCTGCTCTCTTTCCAGAGTCCCTACATCTTTTTTATAATATCATAACCAAAATTGGATGCAATATTCTAAGTGTCATCTTACCAAGGCTTTAAAAAGGCAGTACTAATACTTCACATGCAATACCCAGTCAAGCATTTCAACAACATTTCTGCAGTTCTTCTAAGAAAAGAATGCACTTCTGGGGCATGTAATGGTACAGCGTAAAACGCTGCAACTTAAGCACTTGTATGCAACATCGTTATGCAAGAATCGAAGGTTGGAGCTTGCATCATCAAACAATGATGCATATTTCATCACTTTGGAAGAACCACATTTAGGAACAGATGTCCATGCTTTTCTGCCAAAATCGCAGTAGTAAATATAACACAAAGGAGTGCTGGTTTTGCCCACAATTTTGAGGGAATGTTGGTTTCTATCACATTCAGACACTTGGCAACTGACTCCTGTTTATGATAGTTGTAGTGTTCCGGGGTCGTGTGATCGCCTTTTCCAACCTTCTGTCTGCAGGATTGTCTGGAACGCTACACATCCTGTTCACGACCTATTTTCCTTGTTACCTTCTGGGACGCGGCTTCGTAATGTCCGAAGCAGAAAACCCAGATTCAATCACAGTTTTGTTCCATATAGCATCAACCTTGGGAACGCTCAGGTTTCTTTTTTCTGCTCTAGACAATGGACAGTGTCCAAAATGGACAATGATTAATAATATATGCATATATATATTTGGGTGTAGATATATGTACCGTGTTTCCCCCAAAATAAGACCCTGTCTTATATATATATTTTTTGCCACCAAAAAAGTCACCAGGTCTTATTTTCGGGGGATGTCATCTACTAACTACCCTCACTTGTGCGCATCGTCCCCGGCCTCCTTCTCACTGTCAGAGGCCTTCAAAAACTTCTTCTTCTGCAGCCGGCAAGGCTTTCCTAAAGGCCTCTGCAGCCAGTAACAGAGCTCTGGATCGATCTGGAGCTTTGTTACCAGCTACAGAGGCCTTCAGGAAAGCCTTGCCAGCCTTACTGGCTGCAGAAGAAATGGGCCAGTAAGGCAGGTGTCAGGGTGTGCGAGGCCTGGCTACAACTGTCCAAAGGTAAGTAGTAGGGCAGCTCCACACACCCCCCCCAATCCCCACCCTAGCTTAATTTTTACCCATCCACTCTGGAGTGGGTGGGATCTTAATTAGGGCTTTTTTTGTGGGGTAGGGCTTATATTGGGCCCATGTATAAAAATCAAGCTAGGACTTACTTTCAGGGTAGGTTGTATTTTTGGGGAAACAGGGTATATGTATGTGTATATGTAGTATCTGTATATGTGTGTTATGTATGTGTAGGGGTAGACATATACTTTCTTTTGAGAGCAGACAACAGAATTTCATTTTTAATGTGGGCAAGTGTGCCCTCAGTAAAAATGGCAATAAATCTTACCATCTTCTCTTCTCATCTTATCTCCTATTGTCTTATTTCCCATCTCCTCTCATCTCATCTTACCTTATTTCAAAGGTGAAGCCAGATTCACTTAACACCTGTGTTGCCGGTATGAATTTAACACCTGCAGTGATTCACTTAACAACTGTGGCAAGAAAGGCCGTAAAATGGGGCAAAATCCAAAAAACAGGTGTCTCACTTAACAACAGAAATTTTGGGCTCAATTGTGGTCATGAAGTCAAGGACTAGTTTTGTCCCATTTTCACGACTTTTCTTGCTACAGTTAAGCGAATCGAAGCTCCCGCTGATTTTGCTTGGCAGAAGGTCACAGGAGCCCAGGACTCCGTCATGAATATAAATCAGTTGCCAAGTTTCTGAATTTTGATTACATGCCCGTGACGAAGCTGCAACAGTCATAACTTTGAACGGTCACTAAACGAACAGTTCTAAATTGAGGACTACCTGTATATGCTTATATCAAATATCTAACAGGTTAGAATTTGCAATGCCTGAGCTAGCAACACTGCTAAGCTTTCCAGGTGGCAATGCATGAGAAGGAGTGGCAGATCCTGAAAGCGGAGTTAAATGAGGAATCAGTCTAGAATCTCTACATAGCCACAAGCAAATTAAGTCAAACCTTCCTTGAGTTCAGTTGACCCTTATCTAACTCCAAACAGGTGCTAACAGCTAGTTGAAAAAAAATCCCTGTGCATAGGCTTTTCAGCAATAAATCAGTTTAACTGGACCCTGAGTTGTGGACTTTCAGGTCTTTATGAAATGACAAATAAAACAGTTTCTCACCTCTTCTGCTTACACACTTGGGACAGCATTCTCCTGGACCAAGATGTTCCACTTCATCGTCCTCGCAAAAGAGAGCAGAGCAGCGTTTGGGGGCACAAGTAACCCTCCCGTTAGCACAAGAGCAAGTCCTGCATCCCGAACCGGCCCATTCAGCATTAGGCTTCGAGGAAAGACCAGAAGAAAAAGAAATGAGCAGGAAAAGTACAGGAAAAAGAGTCACATAGGTTTTACATGACAGCTGCCTGCCAAGAAAACCACATCCCACATTTGTAATGCTCGCATTTGGAAAAGTTGTGGAGAGAAAGAGAGAGAGAGAGAGAGAGAGAGAGAGAGAGAGAGAGAGATAAACTGACAGATGATAGATGGATGGATGGATGGATGGATGGATGGATGGATGGATAGAGAAATAGAAGAGATAGACAGAAGAGATAGATAGATAGAAAGATAGAAAGATAGATAGATATAGATAGATAGAAAGATAGATAGATAGAAAGATAGAAAGATAGATAGAGAGAGAGAGAGAGAGAGAGAGAGAGAGAGAGAGAGAGAGAGAGA